CGTTGTGCATTGCTTTGCTTTGCTCCCCACAAATTTTCTGACCTGCCAGCACCGAGGCCTCAGACATTTCCCCAGCGGAGAGTCCCTTTCGTTGTAGGATTTGTGGATTATCTGGGCCCTCGTTGTACAGGAAGGTCATGGGAAACTGGACTGGGAACTGCCGTACATTACACCTGCCCACACTTGATTTCTAGGCTGCAGGGGGGACCGATTTATCCATGAAGCTTACTGGTTCTCTTCCCGGTGGTGGAAGAGGAGCTCGGTGGTCCTTTCCAGCCAGTCTTTGGGACCCTTAGTTTACAGTTAAGGTGAACATTTCAGTTACAGTTTAGCCAAGCAGCGCCGTGACGCGGGCTGGGTGGAAGTCCCACTACAACCCATGCTTGTACTGGACACCTTTTCTAATCCAGTCTTTCTGGCCCTTGGAGTCTTCTGAGCACGTTCACAGGCTTGAGACAGAACTCACTAGAAATGGCTGGGCATAATAAACAAGCGGTTGACATGTATATTTGGGGTGCCCCATGTGAATGTTGAGTGTCCGTCAATGAGTTGACACAGATATATTCAAGTTTTCCTGAGGATTTACTTGTCTTTTTTTTTAATCCATCATCTACACCACAGCAACATCAATTAACCACGTTGCGCTTTTATTTATCACAGCTTCAAAAAAGAAAAAAAGGGAGAAAGGGAAAAAAATGTGCTGCATTGGGCCTCTTCCCTAGTAGATTTGTCTTGTCTTTTAAAAACTTCTCAGTGTAATTCAGGTTGGAAGTTGTTTGACACGCCGCGGCACCGTGACATTGAAATGGTTGTAAACTAGAGGTTGCAAACGCTGTCTAATCGCTTACATTTTGGATTTATGCTTCAGATGGGAAACTCTTGTCCAGTGACGTGACTCATTACATGATCCCAGATTGGAAAATTGTTCAAGATTACCTCGAGATCCTTGAGTTTCCGGAACTGAAGGGAATTATTTTCATGCAAACGGCTTGTCAAGCTGTGCAGCATCAAAGGGGCCGGAGGTATCTGTTTCGCGTTTATTTATTTATTGCACGGATTTTTTCCCGCCCCCTTTAGAGACGGTCCCTTGGGGGGGGGGAGAAATTCATTATTTTTGCCAGAAAGGACTTTTTGAACTAATTTGGCATTCTCTTTGCTACTGAGGAATGCAGTAATGTTATTTTATGTTTCTGCTTCAACACCTGGCCAAAAATCTGACTGTAGATCAATAAGCCGCAGTGTCCCCAAGACGTGGGTATTTAAGATTCTTGGCTTTTGGTTTGCATTTTTATAGTAACAGAGCTATTGCTAACTTCTTGTTGAAAACTGCATGTTATTTAATCTTATTTATAGATACATTGTTGCAGAAGTTTACTTTTTTTTCCTCCCTTTGGGGGGAAAAAAATATTTTTAAATGTTAGGCTCCTGTATTGTGGAGGCAGATTGTACTTGTGATTTATTCAATGAAACAAGAGATAACTTGTTTTATTTTTAGATTACTAGTCTAACCAGCAACCACAGTAACTGTATTTTCTAAACAAAGGATTTCTGATTGAAATCAGTCTAAATAAAATACTTGCCTTGTACCTAAATGAAGAACAGTTATTTACCTTTTAAACAAATACTCTGAAAAACAGTTTTGCTTGCTTTAACATTGGGAAAAGACTTATGATTTGAACTTGAAGACTGTAGGGAAACAGCATATTAGAATTATATATCCAATCTCTTAACACCCCAAGTTAAGCAGAAGCTATGTGTTTATTCTTTTTTAAATGCTGTGGTTTCTTCAGACCTTGGTAGTAAAAGATGAAATGTGTTTATTTGTGTATGAAAATGATAAGTTGTCCTTATATGCTGAGTTCAAAAAATATGCATTAACTAGATTGTGTGCAGGTTTTTCAGATAGAATATTTTTAAATGAGCTTGAAGTTGATTTTGCTCAGACTCAAAACTATAGTTGTTTATACACATCCAGGTTTAAATGCTGCTCCAGGTGTCGTATTTCAATTTCTGCTCCTAAAATCGATTTGTTGCTCGCGTTCGGCTTGCTAACACACCACTGAGCCTTTTCAACTTCTGTTTTCTAAAATATTTTTAATATTAAGGATTGTTTTAAAAACCAATTCCCGGGACATTCGAGAGCGAAGAATTGGAATTTAAATGTCTTTTTTTTTCCTGAACATTTCTAAAGTAGTTAACTTGATAAAAAGGGATTGGTTTTCCATTGCTCTACCGTGTCTCTGAAGGCACTAAATGTAAAAACAAAAGATGAGGAGTTATGGAACCAGCCCATAGGGTAACACTCTGGTTTTCCCATTTCCTGAGTATTTTGTGAGCTCTTAGTTCCAGGCCTCCTGGAGTCCAAAAAGAAGTTCTTGGTCCCTCTCTCAGTAAACCTGCTGTCTTGTCAGAGTGAGATGCAGGAAGGTAATTATGGCATACTTGGGACACATACAGGATAATTAAATGTGGACCATGCGAAGTGCAGAAATCAACATGGGATGTGGGATTTTAAATGTCTTCTGAAGGAAATAGGTTTGAGACTGGCCCTAATGCAGGGAAATGAACATGATTCATGAAAAGGAAGAAGAGGCAGGAAGAGAAACCAGCAAGTTTGGAGACTTGATGCTTTATTTATCTGTTAAGCGACCAGCAGGTATATTCGGGTTGAAACAGCTCAGTGACCAAAATTACCTAAGCCCTGGAAAGTGTCATATTTTGAAAGCCAACATTAGGGTTGATGATAGACATTGAATATACAAGATTCAGGAGATCTGCTTTAGTAAGTTGGCTTTTGTGAGTTTTAAGTGTAAGTCATTTGAGTTTTTTATTTAATCAAAGGTGGCCAAGCAGAGGCTCTCTGGTGCTTTGCTTTGTTTAATGTTGGGAAACATTTTGTTTTGTTTTTTCAGTTCTTCCTTAGAGATACTGAGATGCTGGTGAATAATTTATTCCATTTGATATGCTTTTAGGAACATTATTGCTTAGGAAAGCTTTGTCAGGGAAAAATACCTGGTCTGGTCTATTATCTGGTAAAAGGATGCCCTGCTTTCTCCTTTCAATCCCCTCCTGAACGCCTTCTGTGTAACTTCAGAGTCTCAGTTTCTCAGTGCATAAGATTGGAATCACAGAATATTATAGCTGGAAAGGATCTAAGAGGTCAACATGATCTAACTCCCCATCCAATGCTTCAGTGTTACTCAATGTGAGTAATGTTATCAGCTTTGTTTCTAAAAAACAACAGTTCTCATGGATACCCAGTGTTAATAATACAATAAAATAAATTAAATTAGTTAAATATGTTGAAATATAAATCTAGGTACAAGTCCTCATACCTAAGTACTTAATGCAACCCTCAACCCAAATCGGACCTTCAAATTAAACAAAGCTACAGTAAGAAAACTGCATCGGAGCAGTAATTTAATGTGACAGATCACATTGTCTCACTGAAATGAAATCACCAGAGTTGAGTTTAATATGAGAAAGACAGCCTCTGTGTCTACAGACGTAGGTTCTGTATTTAATATGACTTTGTATTTTGATTTCAGTAATACCAGGGCAGAAAATGCCTGTTCTCATAAGCATATTGTACAAAGCAGTGTGAAAAATGTCAAGTTTGTGATTGTTCAGGATAATCACACGTTTGGCCATCTAACGATCATCATACTTATTTAGTGAGGGGCCATTTGATAGCCCTGTAAGGCTGACTTGTCCGCCGTATTCATTCACGTGTTCAGGTGTTCATCTGTTTATTCAACAGATACTCACTGAGAGACTGTCTATGCCAGAAGCTGTGCTAGTGCTGAGGATACAGTAGTGAACAAAAGCAGATGTGCACTTGAGGGGGAGACAGGCAGTAATCAGATAATCAGACAAACAGATGGAGACCTGCAGCTGTGACAGGCGCGCTGAGGGAGGGGTGCTTGGCTCAGGAGAGCCCAAACTAGTCAGGGAGGTGTGGAACAGCTTCCCTGAGCGAGATGCCTGTGCTGAGCTCTAAGGGATGAGTAGGAGTAAACCAGGCGAAGAGAAGAGAAAAGCTTTCCTGGTGAGGAAACTGCCGTGTAGGGCCATGGGGAGGGAGAACGAGGGAGAAGACGGCCCTGGGTTGGATAGCAGGCCCCACTGGGCTCAGGGATGTCAGGGATTTTTAAGCTGGGTGGGATAACGTGATCAGATTTGGATTTTGAACAGGTCACTGGGCCAGTGGAGAAGAGGCATGGAGGGAAAAGAAGTGGAGGCTCCTGTTTAGTTTGGGTGAGAGATGGTGGTAGCTTAGAGATGGAGAGAGAAACAGATATTTGCAAGAACTATTTAGTAAGTGTTATAGAACTTATAAGTAGAGCCATACCATAGAACTTCCTAAGGATATAACGAAGTGAGTCGAAAACACGTCCACACAAAAACTTGTACACACGTGTTCATAACAGCTCTAATCATAACAGCCAAAAAATGGAGACAACCCAAAAATCCATCAACTGATAATGGTTACACAAAATGTAATTTAACCATATGATGAAATGTTATTCAGCCATGACAAGGAATGAAGTACTGATATGTGCTATACCGTGGATGAACCTTAAAAATAGGATGCTAAGTGAAAGAAGCTAGCCACAAACACAAAATCATATGTTGTATGATTCCATTTTTATGAAATGCCCAGAATAGGTAGATTCAAGAGACAGAAAGTAGATTAGTGGTTGTTAGGGGATGAAGGTCAGAGGGACTGGGGGATGACTGCTTAATGGGGATAAGTTTCTTTTGGGGCTGATGAAAATGGAATTCAATAGTGGTGCTGGTTGCATAACTCTGTGTCTACACTTAAAACCATTGAATTGTACAGCTTAGAAGGGTAAATTTTATGGTCTGTGAATTATATCTCAATAGAGCTGTTTTTTTTTTAATCTATAGGGCTTAGTAATGGATTTAGATACGTGAGATGAGGGAGAAGGTAGTGTTAAGTGTCAAACTCAGGTTTATGGCTTATATAACTGGATACAGAGAGGGAACACAGAGGAGGGTCGAGGGTGGGATGGTGGGGGTCATGAGTTTGAGGTGTCTTTGAGGTCTCCGAGATGGCAGGCCCTGACACCAAATGGCATTGCAGTGAGAAGACTGCTCCAAAATATACTGCATTGAAAGTGTTTTAAAGGGGGAGGGTATAGCTCAGTGGTAGAGCGCATGCCTAGCATACACAAGGTCCCGGGTTCAATCCCCAGTACCTCCATCAATAAAATAAACAAGTAAACCTAATTACCTCCCCCAACCAAAAAATAAAAGATTAAAAAAATATTTGAAGAATATCACCTAATATAAATGGAAATAGAAGCTTGAATTCTTGTAGAAGACGCAAGGACTTCTGAAATTAAGTCTAGGATACCCTACCTGGGTTCTGCAAAAACTGAAGAAATGCTACCCTGAGTACAGAATTCACTCCCTTGTGCACCTCCCCACTGTTTGTGGGACGCACACCCCTAACCCCAGAGGGGGATGTTGCCTCTGTAGTTAAGGTCACCATTCAATAAAAATGGCTTAAAAAAAATCAATCTAGAGAAGGTAAGCTTAGCTGTCTCCCTAAGCAATTGTTTGAAATGTTTAGAAAAAGGAGATTTGGAAAACACTTAAGCCAGTCCAGGGACACTAGAGTTTTTCTGTTAAGACTGACGTTTTTAAAACTCAAGATAATTTAATTGAACTTGACTATCTGAAACTGTTCTCCTGTCATTCAGGACAGACTTGTTTAAGGCACCATGATGTTCTTTGCTGGCTCCGTGCAGGATACTCATATATCTTAATTCCATCCTATGCACCACCAACCCTGCCTAGCGAAAAATACGACTGTATTGTATATATGCACTATTAAATTATAACCGTAAGCCCACATGCCTACAAGAAAACCCGACCGTCAAACTCGGAGTGACTCGCTGTTTATTTCCTGCTTTCCCCATTAATATTCTTGTGCCATTTGTTCATTTGTTTTATCTGCCTGATAGGTAGCTGACAAATGGAAGCACACACTAAAAGTCTAGGGAAAATATATGGGAGTGAGACTTAGAATTGAGAAAATTCTTTAGGCTAAGTGATATATATATATTTAAACATTAGGAAGGATTGTCATTAGTCTCATTTGGTGGTACATCCCCTGGTTCCTGGAGCATCAGTGTTTGGAGAGGACCAGATGCGAGAATCCCCGGGTTAAAGTACAGGTGTGCTGAGCAGTGCAGTGGTGGACGTGAAGCCTAGCAGAAGAGTAGCTGGGTTCTGAAAATACCGGAGTTTGTCCCAAGACTTTATTGTCTTGTATTTGGATCACTGTTGTCACAGCGGGTTGTGAGTTCACTTATTCATTCGGAAAACATTTATTGAGTACCTGCTGCAGGTTAAGTACTGAGGATACAAAGAGGAACCATACTGTCTGCTTTCTTGAGCATCCTGTCCCCTCTCTCTTCCCCTGGGCCCTATGTCTATCGGACTGTCACCCATCCTCCGGTCCCTGTGCTGCCCCCTCCCAGGTGCCTTCTCCATCCCTCCCCTGATCCGGTCACACCCTGCATGTTCCTTTCAGAACACTGATCCCACTCAAACGGGTGGTTCTATTTTTCTGTTTTGTTTTGTTTTGACAGTTAGCATAGCTTTTTAAAAAATTGTGGTAAAACATATATAACGTCAATTTACCATTTTAACCATGTCTAAGGGTGTAATTTGGTGCCGTTGAGTACATTTACCCAATTGTGCAGCCCATCTCCAGAACCTTTTTCTTCTTCCCAAACTGAAATTCTAACCCGTTAAATAAATACTGATTTCCGGTTTCGCCCTCCCCAGGGCCCCTGGCAACCACCATTCTACTTTCTATCTCCATGTATTTGACTATTCAAGGAACCTCGTGTACGTGGAATCGTACAATATATGTCCTTTTGTGACTGGCTAATTTCACTCAGCGTAATGTCTCCAAGGTTCATCCAGGGGGAAGGGTATCGCTCAAGTGGTAGAGCGCATGCTCAGCACCCAAGAGGTTCCCGGGTTCAATCCCCGGTACCTCCTCCAAGCGGAAGTCAATGAAGAAACCTAATTACCTCCTCTTCAGAATACAAATAATACAATCAAGGTTCATCCATGTTGTGGCGTGTGTCAGAACTCCCCTTGTAAGGCTGAACACTATTCCATGGTATATGTTTATCCAGTCCTCCCTAGATGGACACTTGGGCTGCTTCCGCCTTTTAGCTACTATGAATAATGCTGCTGTGAACACAGGTGTTCAAGTATCTCTCCGAGACCTTGCTTTCGGTTCCTCAGGGTCTTTACCCAGAAGTGGATTGCTGGCTGGTAGGTTGGTTGTAGTTTTGGGTTTTTTGAAGAACGAGTGATTGCGTTGCGTTCACCGTGAGCAGGACTGCGGCAGACGAAGGGCAGCGGCCGGGAACCACTGTTTGCTCACCAGAGGGTGTTTAGTCAGAAAGGGAGTTTGCAAACCAACACCTGCACTCAGTCCTGGTGTTTCATTAGGCTTGCAGATAAAGGGAACAAAAACTGGAAAAGATCAGGAAAAATCAGCCAGTATCTTTTCAGTGTTTTCTCTGAAATAATAAATCACAGATGTTTATGAAGTCTCTTCCAAAATCGTTTTTATTGCTTAACAAAAAAGTGTTCATTTAAAAAAGTTCACGCATGAGGGAAATGTGTAAAGCAGAAAGTGGAAGTCTTTGCCTTAGGACCCCGCAGGGACAGTCCTGTTAACCCAGTGATGTCGACTCTTCTATGCATATTCTAAGAGGTTTTTTAAAAGTAATTATAAATGTATCATTGAGAAGGTGAGAAAATTACCAATTTCATACCCTCTAGGCACTTCCGGGGTGGGTAGTGGGAGGCAGCGTTTATTTGCACAAGTGGAATTCCGTTAAGGAAAGCTGCCACTCACAGAAATGAAACTGAATCCCTTTGTTTATTAGGACATTTTGTAAGTTGCTGTTACTTGATGATTCTTTTTAAGATGGCGCAAAATTAGAATTAGTAAGAAAGCAAAATTAGCGTTTCTTGTTTTCTATGAATTGTTAAGACAACACAGGTATCGGTAGTAAGCATTTATTTAGAGAGGGCCAAAGAGTTCTGTCTTTGCTATAATGGAAAGGCTCATTTTTAAATCCCTGGTGGCAGGCTGGAGGTGGGAAGGGAAGAGCACAAATTTTATTATATGAAATGCCAGTCATCTACTTTGGATAATTTATACGTTAATCTAAAATCTGGCCTAATATCAATCCTAAACAATTGACTTTCTTGAAAATAATTGTGAATTTTATGTATTTCATACTACCTGGACAATTGAAAAGTGCCTTCTTAGAAACTGACCCACAGGAGACTTCAAATTTGATTTGCTTTGGCTAGCATTATTGGAGAGATCTCCTGAGGGGAAAAACCTTAAAACTTTCTGTTAGTTTCTGACAGATGAAGCTAGCCTTCATTCATGTAAACGAGGTGGCTGCATCAATCAGATTCACAGAAAAATTCCCAAACTTCCTGACCTTACATGTTCTTTTCTGGGGCTGCCAGCGAAAAGTAAAAAACATAAGAAGAGTTTGAGATTTGCAAATGTTAGCCACTATATATAAAAATAGATAAAAAAACAAATTTCTCTGGGATAGCACAGGGAACTGTATTCAATGTCTTGGAATAACTTTTAGTGAAAAAGAATATGAAAACTATTATATGTGCATATGCATGACTAGAATATTGTGCTGTATACCAGAAATTGACACATTGTAACTGACTATACTTCAATTTTTATAAAAAGTGCTAATGCCTAAAGGCCATGTGTAGAACAAAGTGGGGTACACACAGTGTTCCACTCTACCTCCACATCCTCTGTGAGCCTTGGAGGAAGGGGCCATGTGGGGGTTGGGGGGGGGTAGGGTAATTACATAATAGGTGACCAGAAGGCTCAGAAAGGGGAGTGGGGCAGTTTCATTGATCCACAGACCAACTCACAAGACACATCCCAGCAGGCAACATGGAGATAGCAGCCCAAAGGTGCTGCACACACGCAGGCCAGTATAAATAAGTGTTTCTCAGGTTTTAAATAATCGATCTTTTGCTCTTAAATGCTTCATCTGTTCTGAACCTTAGCAAGAGCTGGCAGGAGATGAGTACCTGCTCCGAGAGATTTATTTTCCTCCTCTGTGTCACAGACAGTATAACAAACTGCGGAATCTCCTGAAGGACGCGCGCCATGATTGCGTTCTCTTCGCTAATGAATTCCAGCAATCCTGCTACCTCCCCCGGGAGAGAGGGGAGTCTATGGAAAAGTGGCAGAGCAGGTATGGCATCGCGTGGCTGGGGTTTCACGCAATCATCTTTAATTTCTTTACCATCGGTTACTTGAACGGTGATCTAAATAGTGTGCTGGAGCAAACCAACAATTACTCCAGAACCATGATTAATACTGAAATGCTTATTGTGTCAGTATTCTAGATATGTCATTGGAATGCATAATTGATATATTCAGAAATTATAATTAGGGAGATATAGGTGCCCAGAGTGAGTTTGCCCCAGACTCTAACGGCTAGGAGGATCATTCCAGTGATGCTGAAGTCATTACTTTCATGCGTGTGTGTGTGTAAGAGAGAGAGAGAGAGAGAGAGAGTGAGAGCGAGCAAGCAGCAGGGAGTGGTCCTACTTGGAAGCTAAGATCATCTCACTTTTTCTGGTATAGATAGCTTTAATATCTCAACTGAAGTGGTAGATTAATTCTAGTAAAGCTCTTCTAGGAAGTGTGGTGTTTAGTTGAGATCACCTAAAAGCAGAGCCTGAAGCAAGGATTTGGGGGTGTGATGTTCATGTGAGAAGCAATTCCCAGAAGCAGGAGTGGGGAAGTGGGGAGAAGGAGACAGAGAGGGAGGGCAAGCAGTGAAGGATGTGTAACTGCTGTGGGAACCTGAGGCTCAGTCCTCTGGGCCCTCTAAAACCACGTAGACTGTGCCTCAGAAGTCACCTCCAAGGGCCGAGGCCAAGGCGTTTAGTTAGTTACCCCTTTAGCTGAGGGCCGTTCCCCACGGGTGTTAACTCCAGTCAGTGGGCCCTTGAGATGGGATGGAACTGCCACCCAGCTGCCGCTGAAGTCACAGGTGGGCTAGGGTGCAGGTGCTGGGCACCAGCAGCCTCTGCCACACTCTTCTGTAGCAGGCAAAGAGGATCTTCATAAGCTTTAAAATGACTTCTTCATGCAAAACATTTACATCATCTTTTTCCTTTTAATTCTTTATCTGTATAGCTATTAAATATTTGAATTCCCTAAAGAAAAGTAAGCACTGATATATACTGAGTCCTTAATAGAACCCAGGTTCCCACAGAGCTTAACACCAGAGAGGGAGAAGCCAAACCTTCTCTAGGCTGGGTCACATGTGAGTACTCACACTTACTAACTACCCAGCCTTGCACGTAGTAGGTACTCAGTGAATTTTTTTTTAATTCTAGAACTAAAGGTACCTTACATAGCATCATAATTTGCAGAAAGGGAAACAGGTGCCTGCAGAAATGTACCCTCCAAGTTTTTAGACTTCATTGGAAACATGATCCTTTCTTGAATACTCCTCTCCAGACCTAGAATCAGTTTTCTTTGTTTTCTGGGGTTTTTTTTTTGGTGGAGGGGAGTAGGGAGGGAGCTAAGTGGGTTTATTTATTTATTTTTAGAGGAGGTACTGAGGATCGAACCCAGGACCTCCTGCTTGCTAAGCACGTGCTCTACCACTTGAGCTACACCCACCCCCGGACTCCATTTTCCAATTCAGATTCTTCTCAGGAAGCTTTGCAGACATTTCACATGGTACTCAATCAGTCCTTATTGGGTTATGATCTTTAGCTGCTTGCAGCTTGGTTTTTTTGTTTGTTTTTTTTTAACCAGAGACCTGCTTCTTCATCTTTTAAACCTCCCATAGTTTATCCTGTCATCCGTGTGGTGCTGTGAGGCTCAGCCCTCTAATTAAAAGGTGTGAAAAGATGGCACAGCCTCACAGTTTTCAGGCCATGTCAAGGGATGAAAGAGGCTGCTGTGGTGGCTGGATGTCTTAGAGAAGCAGAGATGTCAGGAGCTTTCTGATTCATCTTTGTATCCCCCAGGGCATGCTTATAATGGGTGCTCAGGGAGTGCTTGTCACATGAATGAATGAATGGCTGGCTGTATAAGCCAGAGGGTAGCAGATGCGAAGCCAGGTGTACTTTTCTGAAGGGTAGCTTGTGTTGATCGGCCTTGGGAGGGCTCACGTGGCCTCTGCTTTCCTAGGAGCATATACAGCGCAGCCGTTTGGTACTATCATCACTGCCAGGATCGGATGCCCATCGTTATGGTGACAGAAGATGAAGAGACAATTCAGCAGTATGGAAGTGACACCGAAGGAGTGTTTGTCGTCTCCTTCAAGGTATTTCCAGCTGTTTTGTATATAATTGTGTGTGTGTATTTGTGTGTGTGTGTGTGTGTGTGTGTGTGTATGCGCGCGCATTTCCTTAGTAGTGCCCTAGATCCCTTTAGCAATTTGGAAAAGGGAAAATAAAGAATGAAGAAAGACTTCAAGATGGTCCATGTCTTCATTACTCCCCAGCTAATTAATCTTTTTTTTAACATTTTTTTATTGAGTTATAGTCAGTTTACGATGTTGTGTCAATTTCCAGTGTAGAGCACAATTTTTCAGTTATACATGAACATATGTATATTCACTGTCGCATTTTTTTCGCTGTGAGCTACCCCAACTAATTAATCTTGACTTTAACAAATTTAGGTGAATTCCCTGTGACTGCACGGCCCACAGCATCCAAGACTTCAGCCTAATAAGCTTCTGTTGTCAGTAAATTTATGTTTATAGTTATAATAATAGCAGTGTTAGTAACGATGATGATGAAGGTTGAATCTTATAAAATTGCCAATATTCTGGGGTTTTTTGACCTACAAAATGGCAGTTTTATATGCTTCCACCTAAATAGTAATAGCCGACATTTATCTCTGCCAGGCACTGTTTTAAGTGTATTATTGCCTTTAATTCTTGCAACAGCCCTGTGAGACAGGTGTTATAATCCCCATTTCATTGATGGGGAAACTGAAGCACAGAAAGGCTAAGGAACTTGCCCAAGGTCACACAGGCAGAAAGTGATAGAACGGGGATTAGAACCCAGGCAGTCTGACTCCAAAGCTCTTAATCACCACGCGCTACTGCCTCCCACATTGTTTCCCTGAGGACACACAAAGCAGTTTTAAAGGCCAGTCTTATTTTTCCACTTTTCCTCATATTTCCTCACTTGTGACTCTGGATAGGGGTTCATGGGTGGAAAGGAAGGGGTGAGATGTGATATTATTTATGTGAAGGTGTCGGGCCAGCTTGGCGTACATGTAACAGACAGGAGATGTGGTATCAGTGATGGTTTCTTGGGCTGTCCGAGTAACACAGTTCTTCTGTTTCTTAGGTACCTTTTGAGAGAATAGGATGCTTGTTAATCTCTCAATAGATTACTGGTCTCGAGGGGAGGGTATAGCTCAAGTGGTAGAGCACGTGCTTAGCATACACAAGGTCCTGGGTTCAATCCCCAGTACCTCCTCTAAAAAAAAAAATAAGTAAGTAAACGTAATTACCCCCCTCCCCCCAAAATAGATTACTGGTCTCTTCTCTCTGCCCAATTGGCCAATCAAGTTCCAATGGTTGATACTATTTTTTGATTCAGAAACTTAAATGAGGCCCTCCATTACCCTGTCAGTTTACAGAAAACCTGTTTGGATTTTGAATTGTAGATCCTATAAGGGTTCCCAGGTGCATGTATTGCTAAAGGTTTGCCAATAGAATTTTCTTGGCCATGCTATAAAAAAAAGTGTTCTGGCATGCCAGCGTTTTCCAGGGGCACTGGATATTAATGGCAGTGTCCTTTATTTTTTCTGTTGCAATACATCATGTCTTGTTCTTGCAGAGGACAGTTGACTTAAATTACATTTTTCTACCTTTTGTGAAAATTACTCTTCTTTGTAGTCCGGTAGCATAGTACAGTATTATTTTATACAACATTTCCTAAGCAAACTGTGTGACTGAGGGCTTCATAGAGGTGTGTGATGGCAGAAAAAAAGAGATACTGTGAAGTTTCAGATGAGCGGGAAGCCCAGAATTTTCTGAGGACCTGAAGTTAACTGGGGAAGAATGAAGACAATACATTCTTCTGGAACCCCAGCCTGTGGTTCGTAGCGGCAAAAGTTTGGTGTTAATAAGTGACAAGTGGCCATAGAATTGTTGAAGGGATGTTAACACAGACAGAACTTCTGGAAGGACTAGGGAAAGAAAGAAAGCAGTTTGAACAAGACCCTGAAATTAGTGGGAGAAGGGCTGGAACTGACAAGAGGGATAATTTATTTTCCTTTTAATTTGAGAAAAGAGAATGTGCTAGAATCTACCTTCTTAGACTTAAAGTTGAGTTAAAAATCACACATAAACTTGATTCTTTTTTGTTTGTTTGTTTGTTTGTTTGTTTGTTTTTAGTTTTTTGAGGGACAGTAGATTGACTTTTTTAGAGGCAGTACTGGGGATTGAACCCAGGACCCTGTGCATGCTTAGCATGCACTCTACCCTCCCCCACAACATAAATTTGATCTTGTTTAGTGAGAGTCAACCACCTGAGGGCATGTGTTCTAGACAGGAGGAACGGATGTAGCACAGCCAAGCTCACCATGCCAGCCTCTCGTGGGTGGTCGCCTGGGTGCTGTGTCCAGGGCCTCTCTGAACGTTACCCCAAGGGGTGCGATAATATTCAGTACTGTTCATACGATAATATGTATGAACGATACATATTGTATGTACGATAATATTCAGATAATGTTCAGTACTGTTCTCCTTCGAGGGGACGCTGACCACTTGTTTGAGAGTTACGTTTCATACCAGGTCATCACATTGATGGCAGCATGGAGTGTCACCCACATGAAAGGTGTAACTACATCTGTATGGTCATAAAGAAGACTCAGGCCTCCGAGTTTCCTTTCTCTTCTCTGCTAAATGAGGTTGCCGGCGAGTTGAGGGAGAGGAGACATTCCTTATACACTTTACGTCTTGCCATTTTTTGTCTGCTTATTTAGGTTTCTTAGACGTTTCAAGCGTTTCAGAGTGGGAAAAAAAAAGACAGCACACACATTAGAGCTTTTCTTCTCCACTCACTGCAGGCCGTTGTCTGCAGCAGTGAGATATGCGTAGAGACAGGCAGACTGGACATGTGCACGTGCATGGATGTGCGTAGGGAGTGGGATTCGGAAGTGCAGAGTCATCAGGGAGGTGGGCGTGTTCCCTGGTAGGAACAGCCTCCCTGGGGCCCACGTGGCCAGGCTGCAGGGACTAAGGAGGCGGCAGGAAACAGACCCCCAGCATGCGGCTTGGACGGCTGTGCTCATGTAACGCGCTCCAAAACCGCGTTCCTGGTACTGTTCAGGGCTTTCAGTAATACTGCTATAACGAAGAATCGTTATCTTCTGACCGTGTTTCTCCTGTGCCTTTATTAAATGCAGGATTACCTGGACAATTTCTGGCCTGATTTAAAGGCCGCCCACGAGCTGTGTGAGTCTATCCTTCAGTCTCGACGAGAAAGAGAGAATGAGAGTCAGGAGAGCCACGGGAAGGAGTACGCAGAGCATCTTCCCCTGGAAGTGCTAGAAGCCGGCATTAAATCCGGGCGCTATATCCAGGTGAGGGTGCTAACGGGGAGTCGGGCCCGGGCCAGCCAGTGTGTCTCCTTCTCTTCCTTACTCGCCTCTGGTCACAGGCCTCTGATTTCAAAGGCTGTCAGCAAGATGCGTCTGAGTAAGCCAAGGCCAGGGGTGTTTAATGTGATGCGGGAGTCTTCCGTAGACACTGCCCTCCGGTTTGGAGCTAATCTCTAATGTTCTTAACTGGGTTACACATTGAGCGGCACGCAAGTCGCCCTTCAGTGCCTCCTGTCAGTGGGAAAGAGAATATATTTTCCAGTCAAGTTCTGGAGGTTTGGCAAAATTGCAAAACTGGTGGAATTTGCCTTCTTCACTCCTTTGCCATTTCCCTGCCCCTTTCAAGGGCCCCTCTGTGTGATCCCCAAGGACCCAGGACCCAGATGCTGTCAGGGTCTTGAGAGGGAATCAGGATAACATTATTATTCAGATTTCAGCAGTTTTACACGCACTCCTGTGTGTGTGTCTGTGTGTGTCTGTGTGTGCACGTGCCGTTTTATCACGCGTGTAGCTTTGTGTATTCACCGCCACAGTCCAGATACAGGACTGTTCAACCATGGATTTTACATTTTTTAACAAGCAACTTAGACGATTTTTACCCAGGCTGAAGGTTGAGTGTATCACACTCCTGTCCATCCCTAAAGTGTGGGTGTTTTAAATGAGTGTATCTGTGGAGAAGCGAATGCTTCCAATTGGTAATGAAGTTGACAGCATTCCTGGGAGGATGTTTTGAGGAAGAAGGGTTCTTAAAGACCACTTATCACTTAGGTAAGATAAATCCTGCTCCTTTCAACATTTGGTATAGCTGAGGGTTGTTCAAAATGATGGTCTGTCCTATGATGGACAGCCTAAATGTCCATCAACAGGTGACTGGATAAAGAAGAGGTGGTATATTTATACAGTGGAATACTCCTCAGCCATAAAAACCGACAACATAATGCCATTGCAGC